GTTTATGTCCAGTTGTGTCTGTTAGACTTAGCAAAAAAAAAAATATATATATATATCCCGCATGCATACTACCCTTTAGGGCTAAGCCCCGGGTGTTTCAAATGTCTGGCTCCGCCTCTGACCTGGACCAGCCGCCTCTCCACTCTTACTCCCCTTCATAGCTGCCCTCACTTCCTCCTTACTGATCCTCTGTCCTCCTCTCTCTCATATTCTACAGTCATCGGATCCTCATAGTCCTCCTTCATCTTCTCAACAGACTAATGGTAATTTTTCTTTAATCACGTTGCAACACAGTGCCTCTGTTTAGCCAATCAATGCAACAAAAATATAGATATTTTTAATTTAAAGCAATGTAAAATATTGCATTGTAATTACAATTTATTTATAAATGTCATGATTAAGTATTGTGTAATGTTTAAAGTTCCAAACTGTAATGCAACTCTTTACCACTAGGGGGCAGATAGTGAGTGAGCAAAGTGTCCACCATGGCTTACACACTCACACACGCTTCGCGCCTTTGAGGCAAATACTACTGTGATTTGCACATTATGCAAATTAACAGTACAAATGTATCATTATTGTTTTTGCCATTGGGAAGACCAAAACAGGCAATCCAGCCACTCGAAATTAACTAAATGTGATCTTATATGAATAATTAGTGTCAGATAAGGGAAAAGGAAATGTAATGTTACTATGCCCTACATGGTAACATTTATTGTTAAAGGTAATATGAAGTCAGCATCAAGTATTTCTGTATGTGCACATGTAGCTACACCTTGGATGAATTCAAAGAGGAAGGTGAAGATGTCCCTGAGAAGTGAAGGGATAAAGAAACAAAGATATGACAGATATCCACACCGTCTGTACCCGCCCCCCTCGCAGATGCTCTCCTTGCAACCCCTCCTAGGGCCTGCCCCTATTGTGAGGATTGTGTGCTGTTCAGCAGATTGGAGAAGAATAGACTCGATTTCATGTTTACACTTTTTAAAATTAGGAAGTTTAACAACCAAGCAGGATGAAAAAAACAAGATGAGTGCATCTCATTTTGGTGGTAGATGCCAGGACTTCTTCTCTCCCAAATTTTCATTCTCTGTTCTCTCTGATGAGAGCGATCATTGTTGTAACCATTCAATCATTCAGTTCCCAGAATACTTTATTTGGTGAGTGAAATGTAAGTGATTGAAATGAGAACAAAAACAAGCAGCAGACCCAAAAACAAAGTAAAATCTGGTGCAAAAACCGACGGTGGAACGAAAAGAAGTTACAGGTTGAAGAAGGATTAGTCACACTTACCTATGCCTGAAATCTTTGTTTCTTTGAAAAAAAGCCAGAAAACCCAAGAAAGCAGAGAGACACAAGTTAGGTACCAGATTGGTGCTCGGCTGATATTACAAATAACTCTCTAGGGCAGGGGTCCCCAATCCCAGTCCACGAGGGCCGGTGTCCCTGCAGGTTTTAGATGTGTCATCACAGCTGATTTAAAGGGATAAATGACCTGCTCAACATGTCTTCAGTTCTCCAGAGGCCTGGTAACGAACTAATCATGTGATTCAGGTGTGTTGACCCAGGGTGAGATCTAAAACCTGCAGGGACACCGGCCCTCGTGGACTGGGATTGGGGACCCCTGCTCTAGGGGAAAAATACTACAGCATGAGCAACAGTTAGGATGAATTATGGAAATCAGTATGAAAGAGATGTTAGTCTAAAACATGGCCGTTTTCCACTATGTTGGTAGTTCTTCATTAGTTAGCTAACATGAATGTTAGCTAATGTAATTCTATCAGCAGAAACCAACCAACCCAGTGACATCGTGGCACTCAACATGTTCTTAAACTTTAAACACCTGTTTCTTAAGTCCAGACAGTGTTAAACCTGTTTGAATGTAGCGCTCCGTGGTGTAAATTAGCATTACATTATATTATGTTAGCATTGCTATTAGCATTAAATGTAGTATTACACTTCTACATTAAGTACTCTTAAATCAGGTCATTTTGACAAATCACTGGGTCCTGTTTTGTTTTACATCATCTCATGAATATTTACAGTTACCAGGCAAAGCTGGATGAAATGGTTTGGCAACACTTTCTTGAAAAAGGACTCTCAGTTCTGTGGGTAAGACCTTGGGCTGTGTCCAAACTAAGGGGCTACATCCTTCGAAGGCCACGAAGACCGGAAGTGCAAGGCTGTTAAACTGGACGGTCTGCCTAGCAACCGCCACATAAGCAGCTACAGCTGTGGTGGACGGCATGTTCGATAGAAATGCAGGAAATATTTATGTCATATGTTTGACTTTTATCTGAGAAAACTGTTGTTTCATGTGTGTGTGATGCATCTGGGAGAACATTACAACCATGCACTGAGCCAACAATGCTAACTTTAGCTAGCAAACTAGTTTGCTACTGTAGTTCATGAGGCTAGCCTCATTTCATTTTGATGGTGCAAATGTAAAAGGATTACATCATGTTTTACTGTATATACAGCTTTTTGAAAAAAGAAAAGCAAAGCTCAGTGGTGGTATAAAATAAACTAAAAGATTTGATCTTTGCGTGTTTCAGAAAAAATGGAAGACAAGCTGATGCAGTGAATATTCTTTTATTGATGAGAAAACTGCAATTTAAGATGTTGAAGATATGAGAGCATTAAACAGGCAGGTTTGTGTAAGAGGCTCTAACAGGAGAGATGACACAGAAACATCACATCCTTATAAAATACTGACACACTTTATGAAGGGACAACTTTTCACAGCCCTTTGAACTCTTTATTTAAATGAGCTGCATACGTTTCCCAGTGAAACCAGCACTGTGATAAAAACAATACTTTAACTAAATATGTTCTGGATAAAACAAATTGTTATCAAAGGTGTCCGTGGGTCCCTTTACTATTCCTCCTTTCCCTGTCAGATCCTGCAGGATAAACAGCAGTGAGTGGTTCCCTGTATGTGTTGGAGATGCAGGAAGCAAATATCGAGAAACTGTTTAAATATTTCCACCAGTCCCTCAGCTACAGAGAACAGCTGTCAGCTCTCCCCCTGTTCTCCTCTGCATCTCTCAGCTGCTGCTGGCTCCTCTTTCTCCTCCTCTTCCTCACACACTGCTCCTGGTCTCAGGGGTGGAGAGCCTCGTCCCGTCTCCTCTCACCTGCTCAGTCTCTCCTGACTCTGGACACTTGCAGAAGGAAATCAACCATGGCAGTTAACAACTAAAGCAAAAACGTTATCAAATATCTGTCAACGTTCAGATGAAAATGCAGTTTTCTAATAGATTCACATGGACAGTTTTTTAAACTAAGAGAAAATGGAAACAGGACTTACGATCCTGCAGAGTGTTGATCTTTATAACAAGGGTGACGTGCTCAGGTCGTTTGATATAAGCCTGAGAAAAACATGAGGAGGACTTCTCCATCTACTGTCCGTCTCATTGTTAGTGTCTCGATACAGGCTGAGAGCTCCTCCAGCTGTAAACCACAGCGTGGTTGAGTCTGTGTCCTCACCACAGTTCACGGGCCACATGTTTGGTCCCCGCAAACACACTTGGCTTAAAGAGCGAACCGTCCGCTCGGTTTATCCTAAAACCGTTAAGTACGCTGAGCAGCGCCAAGCAGACCCAGCTTCAGTAAAAAAACTAACCAGCCAGAGCTTGTATGACCTGAGCTGCGTTAAGAGGCTGACGTCACGTAACTTAGCCAAAGGTTAGTAGAATTTAACATTTGAAGACTTTTCAATATGCTAACATTTGTTCTGCTGCATATTTCAGTGAGATAAAAACCCAGTACTTACTTTTAAAAGTTTATTTCCGGACCGCTTCGCTTCGACTTTTCGCCATTTTCTCCAAACGATTTCTTCAACCTTTGATTTGCAATGAATCCTGGGATAGGGTAGGCCACGAAGGATATAGCATCCTTAAAATCTGGGGAAAATGACGACGCACTTGTGGGCTGCATTTGGAGCCGCCTTGGAATTTGGACAGCCTACAAACGCGGCCTCTGAAGGATGCAGCCTCTGAATTTGGACACAGCCTTCATCTCTGTGAAACCAGGGAATGTATTCTCTGGATTAGGCTTCACTTCCAACAGCAGCAGTGGATCTCCTTACCTTAGCTCCATGACACTGGTAACATTCCCAGAGGGAAAGATTCTTCTGATGTAGTTGAAGTCGCCAACGAAAATGCTGCCGTCTGCTCCACATGCCAGAGCCAAGGGCGCCAGCAGCTTGTTGCCCTCTGCCTGCCCATTACAGCTGGGGCACGAGATGCTGCGGCGACGACCGTTTCCTAGGAGAGGGAGTTAAAATTCACTTTTCCACATGTGAACCAGTAGCTAGTTAAAATCCAGCTGGGGTGGATTCACTAATTTCCAAGAGAACAGCTTTTTATAATAGAAACAGCGATGAAAAGCAGTCTGCAGTACATGTGTGTGATTCCTGTGTAGTTATCTGTGAACTGGAACAGAACAACACTTTTCTAGTCTTACTGACTACTTAAAACATTTTTACACTACAAGCCATTTTTAACCTTCCAGTCAAACAAAGCACTCCATCCATGACCAGGTTAGAATCATCAGGTAATCCTAACATCCATGTCTTTGGACAGTCATTGATTTTCATTCCGGTGGAAGCCGGAGTATGAGGAGGAATACTGATGGCCACAGATGGGATATGAAACAGGAGCCCTTTTTGCTGTGAGGAGATGCTAACCAGCGCATCACCATGCTGCCACCATGTGGCTCGTTGAACTCATGCATCACAGCAACTAGTTTACAAAAGCTTATTATTGTACTCAGGTTGACTCGAAGGTGGCAACTATGTCTTTACTGCAACATGTGCTTCATTGAACTGATTATCCTAAACCTTCATATTTAAACCTCTAATGACCAGTTTACCTTTATTTGGGATTTTCTTTAATCTACATGGAGTGAAAAATATATAAGTTGACTCAGATAAATACACAAATCCATTAACCCTTTAAGACCTACCATAGAACCAAGCCCGCCAGAGCTTATATTATATTTTTACATGCTGTGGAGCCATTTTTGGGAGCATTTCAAGTTCCTATACATCAATACAACCATTATAACCCAGATTTTAATAATATGTCTGCATTAAGTGCATAGTAATTACATAAATTGCAAAAAAGTGCAATAAACTACAAAAAAATAGAAAATAGTTTTTGTTTTTTTAACAATATTTCATGATTTTAATATTTATTATTTCTAGTTAGAGAAATTTAAGAGGCTTCTCCCTCAAAACTGTAAATACAAAAAAGTTGCACAAACTAGTTTCCCACCACAGGAATTTTATTTTTAGTGTCTTCATAGTTTTATTTTTGAAATACACCAATTTTTATACACTGCAGGAAAAACGAAAATAAATATTATAATGCAAATTTGCAAAAAAGCAGCATATGCATCAAAATAAACTATATCCAGCAGTGCAATATGAGTCCTAAACATCCCAGAAACGACACAGAAAGTCAGAAAGTTAAAGATAACTTTTAAAAACACCAGTATATGCTCATGAGGCCCTGATGGTAAAAAACTACATTTCTGCGAAAATGACGTCACTTCCGGTTTCGGCAGGTCATGGCGGACATGCGATAGTTCGCGCTGATGGACGTAGGAAGTGTTACAAACAGCTGATCGGATCGGCAAAGCGTGTTTCTGGAATATTATGTTTTTGTTGCTGCAAGCGCTTTTTATGCAGTTTTTGCAAAGCTATATGTGGAAGGAAACTGTGACCGAGGACAAGCTGATGGCATCAGATGTAAGTGCAAAAACAAATTATTGTGCTAGTTTACGTGGTTGCAGAGCTACCGGGATTTAAAAATAGTTATGCAAAACGGAGCGTGCCCGCTCCGACCGGTTTTAAAGGGTTAATATGTTTTTCTGAAGGTTCTACCATGAATTCTATTGAAAAGGCCGTTGCCTATTAACTTCTCATTAGTGACATCCGATACTTGTCAGCATAAGAAGATTTGTTTCACCTTGGACTGACAAACACATAACACTGGGAAAGTCCAGAAAACTTAAAGTTAAGGATGAGAATCATACACTGGCAGCATTGTGAAGCTCTACTGAAGTCATTTCTAAACAACTACACATACAACTGAGGCAGCATCATCCTCTAGGACTGGTTTGCTGCCAGTGGTGCGGGTGTATTACACAAAAGTGGACCAAATATTGGACAAGTACTAAATCCTTCAACTTGACTGCAAATCAACAATGAGAAGTCTGAAAACACAAACGTGAAAACAGGTTTTGTAATAAAGTAGTTCATGTATCCAAAGCTGTGACCTCAGTACTACTGACACTTGTAACGACAGCTCTGTGACAGAAAATCAACTCATTTAGATCAACCAGTTATGTCAAGAGTGGTCAAACATCCAGGTGTAACATCAGCTTGCTGCTGAGAACTAACACTGTCAGGTCAAAGTGCAACGTGCTGAGGGAGGTTTGATCAAGTATCAGTGATTGTGTACGTGTATGTTCCAGCTTTGACGCTCTGTGGAGAAGTGCTGTACAATCAAGACAAACAAAATCCTTTCAAAGACTTAATTCAAAAGAAATGACCATGAAACCACGATGAGTTACGTAAACCTCTGACCACAAATGTATGCAACAGACAACAATTAAAGTACAGGCCACCTTTAAAGGAAATGTGCAGTCAGCATGCAGTGACCAGCACTGATTATGTGTGTGCAAGCTCAAACACACTGGGAAGCTTTTATTCTATACTTACCCATGATGCTGTTGATGACAGGTGGCTGCTGGGAAATGAAGACATTCTCACCGCTGCCTTTGTACAGTATCCCTGGAAACGAGATGGATAAAGCACTGAAGGAAAGTGTCTGTGTGTAAATACAGGGAGGCTGCAATCAGCTGGTTCATCTATCAGACTCATATAAAATTAGACCTTCAGTCACCTGTTAAGTTCATGTACTATTTTTACAGTACTGTCCAAATAAAGTTAAACTGAAACTTCTATAAATCGACCCAGTCGTGTCTGAACTTTGGTAGCCAGCGCCTGAGGCACACAGTTTTAAGGGAGAACATTGTTTAAACTGAGGTGTAATATTTTAGGTTGGTAGAAACAATGAAGGATGACAGAGGAGAGAAGCAGAGTAAGAACGATGAGGGGTAGGTCGGCTGGCTTTTGACGAGGTTGATGAGGAAAGATGAAAAGATCAACAGAGGAGAGATGCACTTGTTCTTCAAAGTAAGACATCAAAGTCGCCTCCTGTGGTGAACTGAATTATTAAAACTGCCACTTTCTTGGAACCCAGTTCATCTTATCTTTCTTTCTTATTTTATGCTTGGATGCAAAGCAAACAGAGATTTAAAAAAAGACAGGCTTCATTTGATGGACGTGGAGCGTAGATACAGTTAGTAGTGCTGCGCCATATCATACCGTTCACGGTAATATCGGTGAACAGTATTACCGTGGGCAATGTTGGGCAACGATAAGAAAATGATACATGGCGATAGAATATGGTTAAAACGCGTATGCACAGTGCCTTTGTTTTCATACGCACACGGTGGAAAAAGCATGGCGGCGACGCAGAATGAGAAGAGCGAAAGTGGATCGTTGAATGAAACGATGAACCAGAACTGGTTTGTAAAAATGCTGCAGCTTCACTGGTGTGGAACTGGTTTAGCTTTCGTCCGTCAGATACACAACAAAGCACTATTTTTGGTAGCGCATGCTAGCGGGCCGTCGTTATTACCGTATTGTTTGGAAAATACGGCGCACTTAAAATCATCCTTTGCTTTTCTGAAAGTCGACAGAGCCCCTTATAACCCCGTGTGCCTTATGTATGAACTCTGGTTGTGTTTACTGACCTCGAAACGATTTTATGTGCACGGCGCTCGAAAATCTGTCAAATGTTTCAGTACGACTTTGCTGAGCTACGAAGCCGCACCGCTTGATGGATTGTTGGAGCATTACGGCTATCGTAGGCGGAGCCTCGCGGAGTGATACGTACTGTGCTTCAACATAATGTTACCGTATTGTGTGTGTATAACTGTTTTTAAGTGTTGTGGATGTTATACATGGTTATGCTGAGGATGTGTCGGCCAGTTTCCACTGGAAATACCTGGTTAAACTGTCAGCGAGGAATTTGCACTGTTACATGTTTATATAACTTTAATGCACATAAAAAAACAGCTGCTTGTTTAAGTGAAAATACATTGATGGTTTTTTGCACTAATAAAGTTGTGGAGTTGTAAAGTATTTTGTCTCGTGTCAATTATATCCTCAGTTATATCGTTATCACACATTCATATTGTGATAAATATTTTGGGTCATATCGCCCTGCTCTACAAACAGTGTCTGGTTTCTTACTTTTTGGCAAATCTGTCACATTTGTCAAATTTTAATAGAAGACAAAGAGAACCAGAGAAAATACAAAATGCCGTTTTTAAATGTTTTTTTAGTTTATTAATGCAAAAACAAACTAAGCCTACCTGGCCCTATGTGGGGAAGTAATTGCCCCCTAAACCTAATAACTGGTTGTGTCACAGTGCAGACCCACACGCAGACAAACAGAGGAACAGACGGTGGTTTAAACTGAGTCTTTATTTGATGGCTGTACAAAATACTTCAAAGCAACAAACGAAGGGAGGAAGTGAAAACGCTAACAAAAACTTTGAGAAGCTAAACAAAAGAACACGGAAGAAACGTAGGCGATGAAACAGGCGAACCGGCGAGGAACAGAAGGAAACACACTCTATATGAACACACACGGAGGGTAACGAGGCAAACAGGCAGGGAACACAGCTGTGAGTAATTAGACTCGCGGAGACTGGGAGGAAGACAAACAGAACACACTGACACAGGACACAGACTGTCAAAATAAAACAGGAAATACGTGAATGGAGAGACGAGGATGACAACAGGTAACACAAGAGAGGCACAATAACATCTAAACACTAGAATCATTAACAAATAACCACAAACAAACTAAATCGATCAATATTCATAATCACAAATCACTAGACTCTGTACCATGACACGCTGAGTCACTCTTAGCAGCAACAACTACAAACACTACAGAAAAACAAACACAAAAGCAGCTTTCCTTTATGAAAACCCATCTAAACCCCGAATGATAAGAATGGGATCCAAAAACTGGAATCACGTCTTTCTAATAGGAAAAACTACCCGCAAACTAATTCCTGTGCACTTTGACGCTTCTTTAAGGAAAACATGACTTCTTTAGAGAATAAAAAATTCTCAGTTTTGGATGTAAGCGGTATCAAAACATACCAATCGTGCTGCTTGTCTGCAATGCACAGCTTAACTTTTCTGCCCTATTACAGTTACGTTTATACTACTTTATTACTAAAAATATTTGAACCATTCCTTTAGGACAACAACTACAAGACACCACTCACTCAGCATCTCTAGACCCAGCAGTCTTAGCTAATTATAATCTCCAACCTTCCTTTATATCAAACATCCTTGAAAGAGTAGTTGTCAAACAGCTAACAGATCATCTGCAGAGGAACGGCTTATCTAATAAATGGAGATTTTAATATTGCAGGTTAATTTCCATTGCCATTTTAAGAAGGTGGCGTGTGTCGACCCTTCAAATGTCAAGAAATCCCGGCCAGCTGTTACTCCAGCTGTTACTCCAGCTGTTACTCCAGGCTAGGTGGCTAATGCACTTCACCTCTGTCCTCCACACTATAAAAGATGGCTCCACTTCTCAGTTTCTCTCTTCTGCTCCACCTTCCATCAACTCTTCGGTGATGCTTCTGTCTTGGTCTGTTTAATAAATGCTGAACTTCCTCGGTGGACTCCCTCCTTCTCACCTACTCTGAGGCAGTTTGTCAGGTATGTATGTGTGTGTATCCGAGTAGACACCCCTGTGTCATCAGGTTCCCAATCATAGATGACTTCTTTTTTTAAGTTACCACATTCTGAAGATCTTTGAAAAACTTGACCTTCAACCTTGATCTAAAAGTTGAAGTCACTGAAATTTGAACTTGTCTGATATGTTTAGTAGATGGTATCAATCGAGCTTTCCGTTGCATCTTTCTCGACTTGGATGTCTATATCGCCCCCGCGACCACCAGCCCGCCCGGCAGGTCGATGACAACACCCCATCAGTCATTTACGGCTAAGGGATGAATAATCTCTTACAAACAGATTAATCCAAAATAAGACAAATCTGGATGGATCAACTTAAGACACACGACTCTTGTACATCATGCTTTATTCATGTTCTCAGCTTGAGGTTGTTTCTGGTTTCTTTATATACACCAGGATCATTATCACTCTGTTATATATGATCACACACACAGGGGATGACATTTGAATTCACCTTTCATAATATCACCTTTCTTTGACAAATACAGTCTTCCACTGTTTACCATATGCACTTAGCAAGCAAGCAAGCAATTTATATAGCGCTTTCAGATCAGCCACGAGCTGAACACAAAGTGCTGTACACTTGACATGCCAAACATGATACATTGAGCATGTTAAAAAAAATGAGAAAAATAGTAATAATAATATAAGATAAGTAATATATATATAAACACATTTAAAACAATAAAATCAGCACATTAGATTAAAACAATAAAATCAGGGTCAGACTGTGTCATAAGCCAAAGAGTAAAAATGAGTTTTAAGACGTGTTTTAAAAGTGGACAGTGAAGGGGCCTCTCTAATGTGCTGGGAAAGATTGTTCCACAAATTAGGAGCAGCAATAGAGAAGGCCCCGCCCCCTCTGAGCTTCCTCTTGGACCTGGGTACCTCCAGGAGCAGCTTGTCAGCTGACCTGAGAGACCTGGGGGGTGAGTAAGGATGCAGAAGCTCAGAGAGGTAAGTTGGGGCAAGACCGTTTAAACATTTAAACACAAACATGAGAATTTTAAAGTGAACTCTAAGATTTACAGGCAGCCAATGGAGTGAAGCCAGGACGGGAGTTATGTGCTCTCTTTTACGAGTTCTGGTTAAAAGTCGTGCAGCAGAACTTTGGACCAGCTGCAGACGAGAGAGAAGATGCTGACTAACTCCACAATATAGTGCATTACAGTAATCTAAACGACATGAAATAAAAGCATGGATTACCGTTTCAAGATGCGGCTGAGATAAAATAGGTCTTATCTTTGCCAAGCGCCTTAGATGATAAAAACTGGACTTGACAGTACCCCTAATTTGACTATCTAATTTAAAATCACTGTCCATCTTAAAACCCAGGTTTGTAACAACAGATTTAAAATACTCTGCCAGGGGTCCCAAATCAATAGCGGAGGGTTCACAAGGTCCACTAGGACCAAACAGAATGACCTCAGTTTTGCTGGAATTGCATCTTAGAAGGTTTAGGGACATCCAAGATTTAATGTCTTCTAGACATGCTAAAAGTGGCTTAATAGAGAAGGCATCGTTCTGCTTCAGAGGCAGATAGATCTGACAGTCGTCAGCATACACTGTTTACAAGGAAAACGGTGCATTAATGTTAGTTGATGTAACCACTTAATGTTTGATGTAGACTGAAAACTGCAAATATTAACAGAATTCACTGGTTTGAAAATCATTTAACTGCAAATAGCACAAAGACAAGAACTCAGGTGAAGTCATATTGCTGTGTTTTTAACTAAATGATCAGACCGTCATGATCCGGAGGTACGTCTGGAAAACTCGTTCAGGCACCTGAGCTCCTTGGTCTCCATCCCTGGGCGGAGCCATTAGCTCCCCTGCAGAAGCTGATTCTGGGTAATCGGGTTGAGGATTTAAGCTCTACGCAGAATGTCCTTCACCGCCAGTTTGTCAACGACCTCAGGTTGGTATCAGCTCCAAGTTTTCAGGCTCTTGTTTCTTGTTTTTTCTGTTTTCCTATGCCACAGTTCACCTGGACCTTCCTTGCCGCTTACCTTCAGCTTCAGCTCTTCTCGGACTACCTCTCCATTCTGGAAAATACCGCGAACCTCACCTGCCTGCCCTCCTATCACCACCCCGCAGTGGAACTCAGTCTCTGCCATTACTCACCTGGATTCTCACCGCCTGTCCCTCAAAGCCGAACTCACCCTGGCTACAAGTAAGTCCCATCAGTCGTACTCCACTTCCCCAAGTGTCCTTCGCCTCGCCACCTTCCTAACCCCGTTCTCTTCTCTTCTCAGACGCACCCACTTCATTCCAGTTGCACCTGTTCAGTCCCAGTTTTCCCTTACTGACCCACGGCCACGTCGCTACGCCACCCACGCCCTCCTCTACGAATTACACTCTGTTGTCTTATATACACACTGTAAAACGTGCTCGCCGTCTCTGTTGTGGTTCTAGGCGTTTGAGTCCATTGTTGCAATCGGTTTGCGCCGCTGTGACACACACTGGCACCAGAATAGAGTCATAACCTTAATGCAGGTATGAGGCCCTGTCAGGTCATTGTACTAATGTTCAGTTGAATATGAGGCTTTGGTTCAGATGACTGTCACATGCTCATGTCTGCTGTCACATAGTCTGTGATCCATTTATAACTCGGTTTCTTATGTTTACTCAGTCTAAGAGTCATCATGGGAATCATGGGAGCATTCCTCAGTGGCAGGGCTTCGTCAGTATTCACTAAACAAGTGTGCTTCGTGCAAATATAATATACATATTGCCCATTCCACGAGAGCACATCTACAGCTGAACTATGAATAAAACACTGGAGCAGTGTTGGATTCCCAGACAAATAATTATTCCTGCAGTGTGTTTGGTCTCAAAGAGACTGCACTGCAGTTCTGTCCCTCCAGATTCAGAGTCACACCCACGGAGAGCAGAACACATGTTGCCAGATATCACAAATCACACTTGCTAATAGACACACTCTTTTTCATACACACACATATACACTGAATGGGGGGAGGAGGTGTTGAAAGCCCAGGAGGACCGCAAGGAGAGAAGGTGACTAGCAATGTGATGGATAGGGTGACAGACAGAGTTCAGCGCGGGAGCTGCTGGAGAGGGGTGAAGGGTAGAAGGATGAAAAGCCTTTAAAATGTATTTTATAAACATGTGCTTTACGGGATCGTTGCATCTTAACAAGACAAATTCAGCACAAAGCTACAAAAATGTGGCTGGCTAATGCTGCTGTCTGCTCATTTGGACTTTGCATGCTTCATATTCAAACCAGTCCATTAAAAGCATAGACAGCCGACAGCCAGCGCAACCGCTGCCTTCATTACAAATGATCAGATCTGATTGGTGAGGAGCGAGTAAGAAAGGCAAAGTTAGCGACTCCAAATTCCAACAAATGATTTCCCTACTCGCTTGACTAAAGCCTGCATGAACAACATTAATATTAGTAGGACTGTTTTCTTTTGCAGTGTGGAGATGATTGCAGTATTGTCACATATTGCTGTGTCTAGTTCAGTAACACTGAATATAATGTACAACCTACCATTCTGTACGTCCAGGATGTGATGCTTATCCAGTGTCCATCCTCCCACGTTGGAAGCATCCAACTCATAGCCCTGCAGAATAGCCGTCCTCTTCTCCCACAGGATGAGATCCAGGCAGGACTCGTATTCAAAACCTACGGACACTGTTAGACAAAGAGTTTCAGGTAAGTCCACATATTTAATCCTTCCCTTTGTACATTTTCAAACCAAACAGGAAGGCCTGTGCAATTCTGAACAAAGAACCCAGGTCTATACACGGGCCTGCAACACGAGCACCCAGCACACCACTGACCCTCACATGTGTTTGCTTTTGCAACATGCAGTGACTCCTGATGTTGGTTCACTGAGAGCCTTCATTTTTACACACACACACACACACACACACACACACACACACACACACACACACACACACACACACACACACACACACCACACACACACCAAGTGTGCATATGAACTATTAGCCACTACAGCTGAGTATGTATAGAAAGCTTTTTAGTGCTACTTCCTTAGCACCATCACCTGCTATGATATTGCACATTTGAAATGCAAGACTGGTGCCAGAGCCTCTGTAACATCAACTTTCAGTATATTCAGATACACTATCAGTCACAGCCTCTCATCTAAAGTTTTTCTTTATTTTCTATGTGATTGCAGATTCCCACTGAAGGCATCAAAACTATGACTGAACACACACATGATCATGTAGTAAACAAAAGAAACATGTTTTATATTTTAGATTCTTCCAGTTATCCATCCTTTGCTTTGATTCCTGCTTTGCTCACTCCTGGCATCCTCTCCATGAGCTTCATGAGGTCGTCACTTGAAATGGTTTCCAACAGTCGTGAAGGAGTTCCCAGAGATGCTGAGCACCTGTTGGCCTGTTTGCCTTCACTCTGCGGTCCAGCTCATCCCAAACCATCTCAGTTGGGTTAAGGTCAGGTGACTGTGGAGGCCAGGCCACATAAATCACCAACAGTGTCATCAGCAAAGCCCCCCCACACCATCGCACCTCTTCCTCCATGCTTCACAGTGAGAACCATCAGTTCATTTATTCTGCCCAAAGACACAGCAGGTGGAACCAAAGATCTGAAATGTGGACTCATTAGACCAAAGCACAGATTTCCACTGGTGTAATGTCCACTCCTTGTGTTTCTGGGCCCAAATAAATCTCTTCTGCGTGTTGCTTTTCCTCAGTAGTGGTTTCTTAGCAGCTATTTGAACATAATAATGTAGCTGCTATCACAAGTGTGTGAATGTGTGTGTGGATGGGTGGGTGACTGAATGTAGTGTAAAGCGCTTGATTTTAGCAATTTTCTAACAGTTGTCAAATATGGCTGTCAGCTGTGCACCAACCTGACTGCTGCACAACACAACTGATGGTCCCAACTCCATTTAGAAGGCAAGAAACTCCCCCAATGAACCCTGACAGGCTCACCTGTGAAGTGAAACCATTTCAAGAGACTACATCATGATGCTCGTTGAGAGAAGGCCGAGAGTTTGCAGCGCTGTCAACAAAGCAAAGAGTGGAAGCTAAAATATGAGACATAATTAGACTTATACATCAATTTTTAATAAAGAAAAAACATTAAATCAAAAGATGTGTCCAGTGATTAGAGTTGGTCCGACTCCCGACCAGGGCGGGGCGTCTGTATCCAGTAAGCGGCTCTAGGCAAGACAAGCCCCCCCCCGATGCTAACCAAGCCTACCTTGGACATGAGTGAGCGACATAAAAATGAAGCTATACCGACTAAGACGTTGCCAAGATTAACAAGGTGCATCAGTTGTTGAGGAAACAGCACATGCTGATGAGAAACGGGCTACTGGAACAAGGTAGCATAAGTGGGCAAGAGATGAAAATAGGGCACTGTTGGAATGCTACTACGCAAGTAATCCCAGCAGAAGGGGTTACATGCACAGGATGAGGGATCCAGAGTGACAGCGAAACAACTAGTAACAACTCCTCTACATGGACGGCTCAAGCTGTACGCCAAGCATGAACGAGACATTGATTCACTGATATACAGCAGCAACACTGTAATGTCATTCGGACTGGAGAAGTGTAGTAGTCAGGTAGTCAGAACCGAGGGGATCGAACTACCAGATGGCAACACTGCAGACATCGAGGACAGCTACCAGTACCTGGGGATCCCACGAGCAAATGGGAACCATGAAGAGGCCGCTGGGAAAGCTGCAACCACCAAGTACCTGTAGAGGGTCAGGCAAGTCCTGAGGAGTCAGCTGAATAAGAAGAACAAGATCCGGGCCATCAACACGTACGCCCTGCCCGTGATCAGGTACCCTGCTGGGGCAGGGATAGCTCAGTAGGTAGAGTGGTGGCCCCATGATCGGAAGGTCGGGGGTTCGATTCCCCTGAACAGCTACCCTGAGGTACCCCTGAGCAAGGTACCGTCCCTACACACTGCTCCCCGGGCGCCCAATGGCTGCCCACTGCTTCACTGAGTGAATGGGTTAAATGCAGAGAGCGATTTTCCCCACGGGGACCAATAAAGTACACTTTCTTTCTTTTCTAATAGGCTGGTCAAAGGAGGCGATGGAAGCCACTGACATCTAAGACGAGGAAGCTCCTGACCACACGTCCAGCACCCTGAGACTGTACACTCGGCAGAAGGAAGGAGGCTGGAGACTAGTGAGTGTCAGTACCACGGTCCAGGTGAGACAGCGAAGGCAACGATGGCATCTGGATTTATATTTAACATGAGGAGTTCGTATGGCCGAGCCATTTTGTTTTGTCCCCTGAGCAACAGGTGGAACTTCAAGTTCTCATAGAAAGAGCTCCTTGTTGATATCGCTGTTGTTGTTGGTTCTTAGCTCAGAAAAGTAAAACAGTAACATTAAAAAAAATGTTTTTAAAAATTAAAAGTTTTGGTGCTTTAGACACACCACATTAGATGATGGAAAAATCAAGTCTCTGCATTTATGAGTGAAAAGAGAATATTACATGTTGTAAGTTTCAAAACACTTTTTAACATATATAACACATTAACATCCAACTTCAGATAAACAATTTAAGGAAGAAAAAGATGAGATTGTTAGAAAAGTGTCTGCGAACGTGATTAAACTAATGCTGTTTCATGCAGAGTGGCAGTGACACTGTTTAAAGCCCTATATGTGATGCTGAGGATTTGTCAGATACCAACCCTTATAGCAAATGCCCAAAACTGCCTGTATTTTCTATTTGTACAAACTTACCGACTGCCTCTGATAGTCCATAGACACGCTGGCCATAGGCATCTGTCTTGTCCCAGATGAATGTGTATGACAGATTTGGTTGTGCAGGGAACCATTTTTGGAAGAGGCGGCCCACCACTGCCACCATCAGGTGAACCTGGATTGACAGGAAAGGGTTAACTTCATGATACTGATTAATTCACAGAAAACAGTAACGGTAGGCATTTGTCTTAGCTGTAACTTGAAATGCTGGGAAATATCACTCATCACACCTTCATCAAATTGAAAGGTATTGATGTCTGCGTCATGGTGACTTTCAGCACTGGTTTATATCCTGCTGCTCTGGAGCTAAGGTAGATCAGGTTTAGATCACTGCCAGGTATTGATGTCTGTTCTTGTAGAACCTACAGAAGGAAACGAAACACACCAGACACATCAGTACCCACGGTTCCAAATGGTAAATGGCCTGGATTTGTATAGCGCTTTACTTAGTCCCTGTGGACCTCAAAGCGCTTTAGCACTACATTCAGTCACACACACATTCACACACTGG